AATTTTCTCCAAAATATTGCAAAAAAATTTTGAAATATTTTCAAAAATTCTCAAAATATTTTAAATTAATTTCTCTTTTCTAAAACAAACAAAAAATATTTTGTTTTTATGTATACGGCCAAATCTTAAAAATTTTCCAAGCATATCTTCATGAAAACTAAAAAAGCATATCTTCATAAATAAAAAATTGCATCTTTTTAATGTTTTAAAATGCAAAATGGATATCATAACGAATTTATGATTATCCATTAGGATTTAACCAAAATATCAAAAATCTTTTTCCAACCTTTTTTCTAGAGTCTAGATGTAGACTTTAATATTTGTAAGGTGTAAAATTATATGATAAAGTACACCCTTAGGTATTAAAGATATAATATGTAAATAAATACGATACTAAAATTCAGATTATAGAACGGTTAGGATTTAACCCAATAAGGTAGAGATTTTCTCATGAAAAGAGATCTGCCTTGAACTTTAGAAAAGACCAATGAATAAAAACCCAACTTAAAAAAACAATCAAACAATAATACAATTTATTTTAGATAGGGTGCGCTGATAGTGATTCATATTCCCTATGCATAACCAATCCTTATCTTAATTATCGCAGATTATAGGTTTTTAATAACTATAATACAGAGTGACAACTTTTAAACATTAATAATAATTTTATTATTAAATCTAAAAACTTTTTTTTACACGCAATATCTCATACAGAGGCACAATAAGGAGGATATTAACTCACTTGGGAAAGTGAGGCTAATCCAGCAGCAGGTCCTTTTCCAGCATCCAGTTGTGGTTTTGCAATGATGGAGATACATCGCACTGTACACCAGTTACATCTTTCAGAGGCTAACTTATCTGCTTTTTGGGAAATTGAAACGCGAGCATGGCAGGCAGCCTTCTGCGCCATTACAATACAGGCCAGCTGAGCTTTTGCGTTTCCTGTGTACAGGAGTTGTATTGTAATGATGAGTATCAGTGCCTAAAAATGCCTTGCTTTTACAAGAGCAGGAGGGATTCGCAGCATTATCATTCAAGGAGTTTTCCATGCCATGCTCTGAACTTTTTATTTTTATTTATGTATATATAAAATGAGATTCCCCCCTGTAAATGGGTTTCTAGTATATTTGGAAAGTTTTGATGTTTTTTTAAAGTGTTTTTTATAATAAAATATGTTAAAATATTTTTTTTATTTTTTAAAAATTATTTTTAAGATTAATATATCAATATAATTTAAAATATATCATAAAAAAATAACTTTTAATAATGTTTTTTTAAATGTGTTAGAAATGTGGTTTTCATCGGTTCGGTTTATTAATACTGGAGAACCGAGAGGGGTGGGGGCTTCAATTCAAGTTCCACGTTTTTCAGTCCATGATCAATCTTAGAATACAAAACCCTGCCCCCTGGACCTCCAATTTCTCCTTTTCAAGTTCCACGTTTGTCTGGTCTGTTTTTCATTTTAATATATTTTTAAATAAAACATAATATATTCTCTGTCCCTCTTTAAAAGTCAAGTCGCAAATTCTCTGACACCTCCTCGACAGTCAAGTTCCGCCTAATTTGAGGGATAAAAACTGAAGTGGAGGACGCGTGTTGCGTGGTCAGCTCCTCACAAGGATGTAAATATTATTGTAATCATAATAATTTATTATGCCAATGGTGTCCTCGTTTCGAACGTATCAATGGAATAATTTATTAGCATTGCAAAGACTATAACAGTGTTTCCAGTGGCCGAGACAAGGGGGTGGCAGTGGCAGGCCTCCCGGCATGTAAGAAAATGTTTTTTTTTTAGTATTTTTTTAATATTTTTATAATTTTAATAGTAAAACAACTGAAATTTTAAATTTTTTAAAATAATTTTTTTAATTTAACCTCTTTTAATTTTATTTTTTAGTACAGGAGTGTTTCACTATATTGTAAATGATGATTTTGTAATTTTTTTTCTTAATATTTGTCCTTTAGTAAACTTTTCAAACCATCTACTTCAAATGTCTTATTTTATTTTTTTTATAAACTCAACTTTGATTCAAATTTTTATTTATTTTTTACCTTTTAGTCTATTTGAGATAAAGGAAAGAAATTAGTTGGATTCTATTGATAGAGAAAAAAAATCTTGATTAATATTAATTTTTCCCACAAAAAATATTAATTTTTGTGTCATTGAGTTCCATTAAGGGAGTTTAGCTTGAGTATTTTTTCCTTGTAAACTTAGTTGAAATGATAAGAACTTTTTATTTATTTTGGTTTGATTTTGTTTTCTTAGTTGATTTTTTGGTTGTTTAAGGCAAAAATACGAGTTTATTAACGTGTTTAAAGTGTTTTACAAATGTTTTTAAGCTAAAAATATATTAAAATGGACTTTTAAATCTAAAATATCATTTTTTTTTCGGCCATTACTATGACTATAATCTAGGAAAAAGTAAGCAAAACATTGCTTGCTTTTATTTTTTTTCAAAACATTTTAGGGTCGAAAGCATATCGTCAAAATCATTAACCAAAAAAAAAAAAGCACTTGTATATGAGTCTAATCTCGTAGGCCCATATGAGTGCCTTTTTTATAATGAGCAAAGCATTCGGATTTAATTTACCAGACCTAATACTATTTGATTTTTTTTATATATATTTTTATATTTTTTT